ATACTTATTAAAATATTAATAACTAAACTAACTTTATAATAACGACTTTAATAAAAGACTTAAAAAAAAACGCTAAAATCCTTATTATTATTAAGTACGATTTACGAAGTATAATAACGTAGCTATAAAGTATTATTAATATATTTTATACTAAGAAGGGTATTATTAATATTAATAAGATAGATAGGGCCATATTAATATAGTACCTCGGCTTCTTTTTATAGTTTAAGGATAATTACTTTAAATAATATTAAAAGTTTATTAAAAAGCTCTCTTAAGTACTCTAATATATTTATTACTATTTTTATAATAATAAGACTCCCGGTGCTTATATATAAAAATAGGTTACTTATTTTTAAATAGTAATACTAGCTTATTAATAAGCTATCGAAACTACGATTTTAGTAATCCCTTAACGAAGGAGAGGGTAGAATAGAGGAAAGGATAGGAGACTTATAAAAAGGGTTAAGGTTAAATAGTGCGGAATTCGAGGGTAGGGTAGCGTTTATATATACTGCGGCAATCCTCTAGTAATGCAAAACGATGGAGTTAAACAGTGGATGGACTCCACTCACAACGACCCAGTTCACTCACAGTGAGGTATCTGAATGAAAGAGCCCAGTGCCCGAAACTGAAAATGAAGGGGTGAGGTGACTATCGAATCGACGGGAGGAAGCCGCCCGCCTGTCCATCGAACCCATGCCCTTCCCTGCTGCCTTGTGGCCTTGGGCGGGAATTCCACAAAGATCCAATGGGAAGACCCATTAGAAATCGGATAAGATGGGGCCCCTTCTCTTAGGTAATCCAGATCCATCCGAGCTTCTCCCAGATACGCACCCACCAAAGTGACCAAACGTTGTGCAGTCACGCAGTGTGCACTCCCCGTCGTTCGTGGGAGCTTCCTGTCCACCTTTTCAGAGTATCCACTTTCCTTGTTTTTTTCCCTCTCTTTTGGTTTTTTCCCACCTCATCTTTCTCTTTCTCTCTGTGGTGTGTGTGTCTCTCTCTCTCTCCGCATGCATGCCCCTGGCCAACCACCGGTATTCAATCCTTCAACTCTCTTTCGTCATCCCCTTTGGCTGACATCCGTTTAGCAGCAGCTTTCTCCAACTTCCTCCAACCGCTGTCCCTGTCCATCAGCCGTCATGGCTTGCTCTGTTGCACGCCCGTCACATCATTTACCTTTTTTGGTTTTCGTCGCTCTTGGTTCCTGTCCTTGTCAGGGTCCCGGAGGAACTGGGCAGAAAATCCATCCGACCGAACCCTTGACATCAAATTGCACCGCTGTCCGAGTAGCCGCGAACCCATGTTGGTCACCGATGTTGGTATCGGGTCCCAGGCACACCGTCCTCACGGTCCTCTGCAGTCCCGGTACGGATACCCTTCAGGCCACCATCCATCCATCGGCCATCCATCAAGACACCATCGAAAGCTCATATCCACCACCACACCCCCGTACGTCATATCATGCCCATGTCTCTTCTACCAACGCGGCAACACCTCCTCCCACCCAGGCTTGGATGACTGCTCACTGGCGGTCGTTGACCGAGGGTCTTTTTGGAGTTTGTACGGATACTCCCTCCTGCAATACCCCCTGCCCACCCCATCATCTCGCGCAGTCCAACTTGGCCTGCCAGATTTTCACCCCGAAAATCTGGTTGCAAGAATTCGCGTTGTGATAGTTCACATTGACCAGCGGCATGTCGCTTTATAATTGGTCGCACTGCACATTTCTATTGCTGACCTGCTGTATTCACTATGCCCCAACCCTTTTCATCCTGGTCTCCATCTGGCGTAACAGCTCAACTTCTTGCAGATGTCAGAGCAATCCCAGGCTTTGCCACTCCTGTCGCCCTTCTTCCCGAGTTGCCAGAGGCCTGGAGGCTGCGGATACTCGAACCCTTACAAGGCAAGCCCCTTGCTCTTCTCCACGATACACTGACAGAGAACAGAAAAAGCTAGAATTGGGCATGCCAACGTCAAGCCCTACAGACCTCCAACTCACGATAGTGCTGATCGTGGCACCACACCAGATCGTCCCTAACAGAATGAGTTTTCTCGGACCTGGACAAGACATTACTGGCGGATTGAGTATCCGTTCATCGTCTCGAGATGTGGCCGTGAACTGCGTTGGGCTCTTCATCGGCTATGCTTTGCTACCATCCACCAAGCATCAAGCCGAGCTCTCCGGAGAACGCCAATTGCGTCTCCCCTTGGATCAGGCTGGTCCGCGACTGTCATACCATGAATTGCGTCGCGGCTAAGGATAAGTAGCCGTCGGTTATTCCTACCTCGCGGAACACTGTCAAAACCTCAACGCAGCTCGCCGGCATGCGGCCATTATATCGGCCTGCTTGGCTAGTTCCGGTCCGGCCATATCGACTCGCATTGCAAGCCAATGAAGGCTCAGCACCACCTCGTCGCGTTCAGTTATCTCGTTGCATCTTCACGTCTCGTATTCACCTTGAAAAGGCGGCGATCCAGCGCCCAAATTGACCATCTACCGGTACCCGTACCTCCCTAAGGTTCAACGAGTGTGCGGGTAATCATGCACGATACACTTCGTACGGATACCCATCGTCGGCTAGATTTTCGCCAATTACCCACCCACTTCGCCAACTTCGCTGGGCTTTTGGGACCAACGTTGTCTATAGAAATCAGGGGTCCTTCCTGAACGGTTCTTAGCGCATCGCCTGGCCCCGTCTCGGTGCATCCGCGACGAACGGGGATACTAAAACCATTCAACTCGGCCAGTCAACCACAAAATCGTCTCTCCACCTACGGCCCCTCCTTCCAGTCGATTGGGATGCTGAATCGTATCATGTCTTTCCCACCCAATGGTGACGAGCGCTCTTCGAGCATGGAATCTACAGCCCTGCCGTTCTGCCGCCTAAGTTTGCATACACCCCAGCAATTTTCTAGTCGTACCCGTATCCCACGAGCATTTATTCGTTGTTATTGCAAAGAGTAGCCGACTGCTGCGATGGCGGATCAAAGGCTGGGCCCGCTAGGCTTTTAGCAGAGCTCGCACCGGCTTGCTTATATTAATCGGATCTGACAACCAAGATACTACAGATTTAGCTCGCTTGATACGTGCGGCTCAAAAGTCAGTGCTTCGTCTAGTTGCTAAGCTGGCACGTCGTTAGCACCTGGCACCCCGGAGGCACTGCAGCCGATGGATATTCTGACTTTGTACGAATAGACAGCAAGAGTGCTACTCTATTTCTGTGTACCTCATCCGTGCCGCCGACCTCACACTAGACTGATAGAATATCGCTCAGCCTCTCTGAACTGACGACTACGTACTCTGTACACTACCTATATCGACCCCTGGAGACGTAATTTACATGCACAGTTTTCGGACAACATGCCTGCAAGCCAGTCGCGTATTGGCGTCGATCATTACCATTCTGAATTCCAGCTTTCTGATGTTTCGGCTCCATAAACTCAAATGCACCCACGAAAGAGTTGCAGGATCTACAGGTCTCATCTCAAGCCTCTCAAGCCTCTTTTGATTAAAAGCTGTCTAAGTATCCGCATCTGCAGCGATTCTTGGGGGCCATGTTGGCGTTCGGCAATTGCTCACCAAAGGAGCCAACTCTTGTACTTGAGCACTGATGCCCAACGAAATACAAGCGTCGCGACCTGAATGACGAAGGGTCCCCGGCTTCTTGTCATTTCTAGTTCACTAGATCTGCAACCGCCAGAGATCTACGTCTCAGCCAGACTCTTAGTATCCGCACCGCGTCTTACATGGCAACCTGTGTTGGCTCGACCATCCTCAAGTCTCGACGGAATGGAACAAAGATGACTGGCGTGGTACACAACGCTCAACACCTAACCCTCTGTTTCTGGGGCTCGGGCTGCCCACCCAAAGGGCTAGCAATGATCACGAGAGGGTGATCTATCACTAACAGCGCGTCACAGAGGGCCACTCTGAACGGCCAGTCGTGATCGGCAACACTACGCGGTGCACAGGCGGATTTTGAACCAAGTGGCGAATTTTGGTTTTCTTTCTTTCTTTCTTTTTTTTTTTTTTTTTTCGCAGAACGCCGAGGTCCATTGCTATTCCGTGGGCGAGCAACCGCTGTTGATCTAACCATCGTCATCTTGAGACCGAAATGTCAAAGGATCATCAAGCTGAAGAACAACCGGGACCTGTCGACATCATAATACCAAACATATTCGTACCTGGCACGACAACAGTTGAACAGACCTAAGTTTTGACATGGAGTGTCAATGTCAGGTTTCACATACCCTGGCTGCACTGGGATATGGTTGTTACGTTGCCAGCACCATGTTCCTTCTACCTGTTCCAGGCCCCCCATTATCGCGTCTGGAATAATCGCCTGTGCGTAACGGAGTAATAGCCGCACCTGAATATCTCCGTCAGATGCTGTGAAGAGGTAATCTGATGTAAACACTGAATAAAATATGCACAGGTGATCATCCATGTGTATGCCTCCTCGTGATACTGTCGGATGGACTTTTGCCTGCCTGGCGAACAATGCTTAGCTGACTCAGAGGTCGCTTTTCGCAAAAATAAGACAACAATAACGACCGTCGAGGCTACGTACCATGGCAAGTCCGACAGCTTGGTGGATCTTTTTGATGCCGGGATACGCGAGGTGTCATTCCGAATAGTGGACGAGGTCAGATGCCCGGCCACGCGAGAAAGGGCATGGATACTCCCCGGGCTGCAGCTCTTGTCGAGCCGGCAAAACCTGACGTCGAATACATCTTCCACTTACTTACTGTTTAGCACAAAACTTTGTAGAGCCTACAAATATTGTTCGTACGTCTCCGGCCACTGCTGTTCGGTGCTGGGGGCTGCTTGTTTCTCCCCCAGCTTGAACGAGGAAGACGCCTTCGCACTGGAGTCTCAAGGGTGGTTGTGGCTGATTTAAGCCAGGACGATCGATTCCGACAGGGCACCTTCGGGTGATAACTGACGCTGGGTGCAACGCAGGAGACGAAAGATATCGAGACAACACTAGACTATGCGAAGAGCAGCCTTTTATGATGGTCATAGACGCCCGCACGCGGTTGACAACATATCTTGTTCCGCGAGGCTTCGAGGCAGACTGCTGCAAACTATTGAAGAGATGGTTAGTGGGCAAAGCTAACTCATTGGCAAGGCTTCTGTTGATGCGGCCGGTTGTACGACCAAACGGCCATTTGCCTTGCTCGGCGTCGTACTTGACCCCGCCAGAGATCACACAACCACACTCCATAATGCTTGTGCAGAGGCACGTATAACGCTCGCTTACCTAGCCAAAGCCTGGCTATTTACCGCTATGGTGCTCCGCACAACTATCAATTCGTTTACGAATTCATAGTACAAAGAGAAAGTAAATCAACGGATCCCACTCCGGGAGGGGTTCTATTGAAATCTCTATAGTGCACCCTAGTGCTCGGTCCACGTACAAAATCTAGGATGATGACCTCACATGTTTTCGCTGAAGGATATCTGGCAACCTCGGCTACTCTTGGTTGCTTTAGAAATGAAGCTTTGGGGCCGCAAATCCAAGAAGATACACCGGTGGCTCGCAACGCCTCACTGACCTCGTGCAAATTGGAAATAGCACAGGGCAGTCTTCAAAGTCACCGGCAGAGACTACCTTTGTCGATAGCAGACACGACTTTTCACGATACGCCGACCTCCAAGACCTGCATCATGCCAGAAATCCAACAGTAGCACTATATGCAGGTTATGCGATCATGGTCCAAACAAGCAGCTACAAAAAAATCAAGGCAAGGTACGGAATGGTAACCTTGTCGTCGGCAGCCGCTCGTGTGATACCCGGCTGCGACTTATAACTCTTTGAGTGCTCCTTATGCCATGCACAAAATGACATTGATAGGACTGCTTCGTCGGGGAGGGCTTCTGCTATTGAGTTTCAATGTGTCAGCGACACGGTGCGGTGTCAGAAAGATCGTCGCTCCATTGAGATTAACACAATCAGTCCAAGCATGGCGGGGCTGTTCTCTCCGATGCGGGACCCGCGGTGCCAAAGCAAGATTTAATTCCCACTGGCGGCGATGGAACGATGAACCCGTGGTTTCACAGGTGCAGACTGCAGCTCGTCGAAGCAGGCAGGGCAGGGCAGGGCCCCGAACTCATTCTTCTCTCTATTTCTCCTGCCTCCAGGCCAGGCGTCTTCGGTCCACTCCAGAGACCGTTCAGGCTTCAGCGGATTGCATCTGTCCCCCCATCGATAGGATCCCCCCAATCTAAGAAAGTTCATGATTTTGGACCCGCCACGGCCTCGGACAGCGTGTCCCGCGCTGTGCTATCCATGTCACCCTGTCCCTGAAGGTCGTTTTGCATGGGAGACAGGAAAGTACCTGTGCCGTGCCCTCCGATTTCGTCGCCGTGCCATCGTCTATGGATTCGAACGGATATGCATCCACCGGAAAGATTTGAATTGCGGTCCTCGCGCTCGAGCCTCGCGTGGTGGAAGCAAGCGAGAAGGAAAAGAGAAGGCCATCTCCACTTGTTCTGTTCATGCCGATCCCTTGTCGCTGACTATCACTATCAACCAGGATTGGTTTATTTTCTCTTTGAAATCATCACATCATGGGGGGTAGCCGCTAGTCGGGTCGATTGATCTTGACAGAATCGAGTTCAAGGACGATGTCAAATGTCCGTGACGTCTCGGGCCTGCTAGTGTACACCACGAGGGTTTCGGCGGGGCCGGCGGCCCATTTTGATTTCTGAGCCGAGAGCCTGAAAGAGAGAGAGACAGAAAGAGAGACGGAGAGAGACAACATGGCCAGGATGCGGTCGGAGTCAAAGTGAAGCATGGGGGTATTGCTGGCGGGTACATTGCCATGAGCTACTGCCCAGTGCCCAGAAGCTACCGTTGGAAACCCTCACGCCAACGACAGAGGAGTGACATTCGAGGCCAAAGACTGTTTGGTATGTTTCTAACAAAAGGTACGGACACCATCTGAGCTCAATCTGCCCCTAGATCTCACGAGATTCAGAGTCTGGACTCCGGATAGTATAACCCCGTACGGATACACCTACCCAAGTCGTCAATAGCCAATACCATAATTGACAAGTGGATTCCATTCGGACTCGCCTTACCGCCTCCTCTCCAGATCCACCATATATCAAGTTAACTTTACTGGCTTCCGCTCGTCTCGTGTAGACAGATGAACAGACAAGGTTGGTGCTGGTAACGGAGAGGTGCTTTGATGCTTCGCCTGCCTCCCCCTCCCCTTCTCGCCTTTTTGGACGTTGCCCACTCCCTTCCAAGGTTCCCTGGCCTGGGCTGGTGAGCGTGGGCTGTCGAGGTAGGTATGTACACCTGCACGTGGAGCTTAGAAGTAACTCTACTTTGAACCGTTGAAAGTTTCTGACAAGGCCGGGGCACGAACAATAGCCTGATTAGGTCTCCGGTACGAGTGGCAGTCGACCCTCACAGCACATGCCACAAGTCCCTCGTACCTTGCGCTTCCACCGGGTGCTTGTGTTAGTTCCCTGCATGGTGGAGAGTTCCCGTCATTTGACAGCTGCGGCGGGTGCCAAAATGGCGTTTTCCCGACGTCCCCTTGGAATCCTTGGGATCCTTGGGATCTCGCTTGCCCTTCTTCTCTCCACTTTTCCTTCTCGAAAGAGTTCAGAGTTGAAACGGCCGAGCACTCGTTGGTGGCCTCTCCTCTCGACGGGAGTCCCTGGGCTCTGTACTCCTCACTCACGGTCCAGGGCTCAGTCCTTGACTCCTCCTAGCCAGGCTCACACAGCACACCTCGCTGCTCAGGCAGATGCTCCTTGTGGCTCCCGAATACTTACGAATACACTATTCGTGTGGGCTCAACCCAACTTGCCAATCACCCACCCACACCCCCTCTCCACGATCGAAGTTTCGATAATCCTTCTCAGTGCTGCCCTGCTGGTGCTATTACCAAGGGTCACGGAACATCAAACCGATCATCGTCTGCGCCTATTCGTACCTCACCAGCGGGGTTCGATGAAGCGGGCCACCATCTCCAGCTTTGACTCTCTATCCACGCGTCCTTAACAAGCGAGCAGAAAAAAGGCACACGTCCGGCGGTCACTGTCGACTCCGGCATGACAATCAACAGCATTATGCGTATCCGTATGTACGGATACAATGAGACAACCATAGCCGAGTCTTTGACAGGCAAACAAACTGCAATGTACTTGTTGTCTGTCCAGTCATCTGTACGGAGTACATACGCATACAGAATCGCGCTTTAGCCCACACGGACCCCCATATTCGTCTCATTCTCCTCCTGCTCCTCATTATCGTATCGTCGCGATCTATTTTCGGCCTGAGCCCCAACTATTTTATATCACTGGATGTTGCGATTCCGAGCTGAGATTTCAAAATACGTCAGTCAGACTAGGAGGGATGCCCGTTTCACTCGAGAATCCGAAATGCCGCGATAATTGCACCCACGCCAACGAGGTAGCAAGAGCCTATTGCGACTCGACATTGCTTCAAGCCTGGCGTCGCAACGGACGTACTGTCTGCCGTCTGCATCTGCGGGTAGTGAAGGCCGGAGAAGGGGGCGTGTTGGAAAAGCGAGCAGCGAGCACCCCAACACATCCACGCCACACCCTGGTCCATCGCCTCTCTGATCTCCTTACCGCATCTTGACTTCATCTGCAGGATTCATGCCGCTTGCTTCCTGCCAAGTTACCTTTGCCCTGGTCTTGCCGCGTACCTACGACCAACCAAGATGAGATCGACGATGCACATCCAGACAGCCCCCCTTGCAATCCTCTTTGTAACCCGCCGTGGGCACGACGTCGCCCAATCCAGCAAGCACATCTCCTTTCGGCAGCCTTGCTCGACCAGTGGCTCTCTTTCTGTCGCGCAATGTGCCTACACCCCCTTTCTCCCCTCTGCATTAACCGTTGTCGCCGCCACCGTTGGTCATCTCGTCTGCAAGAAGCGGAACCAAACCGTCTGGCACACGGGTACGATGTTCGCGGCCACTTCGGTGAGCGTTGCGTCCACTGGCCACCCACTGAGATCGTTTGCTGACACCTCGGCGTCTCTCGCGGGATCTTGCGCGTTTCTCACGATCGCATGCAGGCTTACCACCACTCGATATAAAACATCAGCCCTGGTCCAAGTCACTCCCTGGCAGGCTACACTGGCGCGGTTCACGATTGACTTTCCGCTCGATACGGGCACTTCAATCCAACCGTTCCTAATCGGAGCTACTGCCTCTTCAGGAAGCCGTCTCCAGCTTATGAGCAAATCACAACTGCCATCATCTTCTGCCTCGCTCCGCTTTATTAGGACATGCGCCAGATCCGGCCATCGCTATCAAAACATCACATCTCAATTCTTTGACTGGGCCGTTTCCGCTGTTTCGACATGGGTTTGCATGCGGGATCTTGATGTACTCCTCAGGTACCCAAAGAGTCACGATCCAGCATCCAGTCTCCCGTGGCGCGGGTTCGTCGATTTCCTGTGATCTTTAACCACGCCGGAGTGCGGAGGGTTTCTCATGAAAACCACATGAAAGCGACATTGACTCCAGTATTACGAGCATCAAAATCTCCTGCAGACCCAGTCCTGTCTTCGAGCTGGTGGTCCAAGATTCGACAGCAGCTCAGTACCGGCCAAACACCCCAGGACCTCATCTCGACGCGACCCATTTGCGTTGCTGCCGCCGGGTATGTCAGATCATGCTCATGTTTGTTTTCTAGCTTCATATGCAGATCCCCATTCTCGAATCCTGGCGCAGGTAACTGGCTGCTATACTCACGACCCAGGAGTGCCGCCTCACCGACCTTGGGTCGATATGCCGGGCCGCTATTCAAAGTCACATTGCAGTTGACATATGCAGCCACCCACCATACTGATGGAGTAGAGTAGTGGCCGTCGACGTTCCGTCATTTTGATAAGTTTCGACAGCTTGTCGTCAAAATCTCCATCCATTGCTCCTGCTCCGAGGTGCTTTGCAGGCGTACATCTGCAGCATGTGATGAGTTGTGGCCAAACCGGGCTTTCAAAGTGCGGCCGCACTTTGCGGTTCAGTCCGTCAACCCCGATTTCTTGGGTGAAAACAAAACAGGAATGCATTGCTGCTTAGCGCTACTCAAGGATGTGTCAGGCACGGTGGCACGTCCCGAGTCCGAGGCGATAGCAGCTAGCTCACGACTCACCATGTGGCTTCAGCTCATGGGCCAGACGACATGCTCACCCCAACCACAAGTCGAAGCGAGGCCACCACTGCTACCCCGTCCGCAGTAGGATCTGAAAGACCCGACCCTTCCATGGAACCCTCACTTCATCATTTCATCAATATGCCGCCGTCTTCGATGCGCTGATACCTGGGTAGGGTGGCATTTCACCATCACTCGATCGTTCGTTCACACCAGCAAAATACGTTCATACTGGTCAGTTGATGATCTGCCGTCCCTGCAATCGGTGACTGCCCATGCAACCATAAGCCGTGTGGTTACGTCGAAGCCCAAAGATCCTGGCGCGAAGATCGTTGCCTATAAGCCTCCACCATACTGCATACAACAGGCGAATGCACCTCGCAGGATGGCGGACGGCCTTGAGATCAACTCAGGTCGGCCGATGCGAAGTTGGAACAATACCGATGCACGACAGCTGTTTCCAATCAACACTGGGTGAAAAGGCGCAACTACCATGTTGTCATCGTCTCTTCATGAGTGGCTAAGCATCCGCGAACCAGGGAAGTTGGACGGAAATTCTTCATCGCAAGCACCGCCCCAGGCCCAAGCTGGCCGGTGCGCGACGCCGCGCACTTGAGCCTGGATCATCGACGTACGTAGATTCATCGAATATCTCAAGCAAGAAGCAGCACTATCGGGATGAAGCGCGGACTAGATGCGATGCACCCGGCCCTCGTCACCAGTTCCCTAGGATCTGGCTCTGACATGCCAATTAGGCTTGGCTCATGGTGCGATCGTCTGATCTGGAGATCGGTCTGCCACGCAATCCACACACACTCACGCGCGCGCACCATCATCTCGCATTTTCGTCCGGCAAATAAAATGTCACGAACAATACCACTCACCCTTCGGATCGAACGGGGCTAAGGGGATATGGAGCCTGACCGGTGAGAGTGACTGCATCGGCAATAATATCGAACCCCAGCTCTCGGGCGACGGTAGCCAAACACAGGAGGCGGCGGCTCTCTTCGCGACAAAATGGTCCGACTCCTGGGGCACAACTATGGTCTATCGGCATATCGACTCCAGTCATCAGCATGCTCTGGTGCATCTCCAGCTACCAGCGTCTCGTCGGTAGTGTCAGAAGTTGGAAAAGAAATTGTCTAGCGCCCGAAGAGGTCATCAACCCCGCTTCCCGGCCATGTGGTTAACACACTCAGGGCCCTCCCGGTAAGGAGATTAGAGTGGTTGGCGAGACAGGTAGCCCCATGCTCTTCCCAGGTCTCGGCAACGAGATCAGGCCAGAAAGAGCCCGTAGTCGATTGCTCGCCCGTTGAAACAACCCCACGCCGCAAGCCAACGGAAATCTGGTACAGAAACGGCGCTATGCCCGGCCGTTGAGGTGACGTCGACTTGCGCGACTTCAAGACTGCGGACGTACGCACGGCCGGATCTCTGGCAAGACGCTTCCAACAAGAAACGGCTCATGAATCACTTCACACGAGAATGGACCGTTCCTTTACAGTGCGGGAAGTCATTCTCGACTCCCGAGAAGAGATCAAACTGTACCTAGCCTTTCGGCCGAGGAACGGCAGCAGGCGTTAGACTGGAACGTCCACACTCTGAATCTTACGACCGTTGGAGAGCATTTTCTATTCGTGGAATACAACGTTGATTTGTGTGGTTTCACCATCTCACCTGCTTGACAGGATTGCATCCTTTCGTTACCTGTTTTGCAATGTTTAGCGCCAACCGAGTGGCAATGACAACATGAAGCTCCCATTGATCTTGTTAAGCCTGCGTCTCAACAAATCGCGTCCACGGCTCTTGGTTCTGATGCAAAGGGGCGGACGAAGTTAGGCGCACTATACTCACAAGTAGACGCAGACGTTGAGATCCGATTCTACGGCAGTAATCTTCGGAACCGTCTCTTAGTTTTACGTGTGACGCTGGCGACACGCTTCGTTTTTTCAGTCCCCGACCCTCTCGACAGCGCCACACTTCACATATTTCAAACTGCTGGCCGCTCCAACAGCGTGTCAGCCAGCAAACCCCGAACCTCGTTTCCTCAACCCCGGCGATTGATCGTGGTGACTGGCAATAAGTCTGGAGTACCTCGTCATACGTCGCACAACGTTACCGACAAGTTTTTGGCCGTCGCACTTCAATGGTTGGCGCCTCTCGGAATCAGACCGTGGCCATGATCCTCCCTGTTTTCTTCCCGGGTCCTTTTCTTATTGCGAACCAACGGCCAATGCTACAACGAATGAATCAAACCTGGCTGTTGCACCAATCGCGAAGGCCCTCTAGCTTACTGTGCGCCCGCTCATGATCCTCGCCGTCGTTCTAGCGCGTGCTTCAAGACAGGCTGGGATTTCACCCATAATCCATAGGGAAGTTGTAAGTCTCGAGATTACTCATGTGTAGCAGCGGCACGTGTCTATCAGTACAACGAATCTTCAATTCAGTCACAGGGCAAAATATATGCCACCTGTCACGACGGGTACCGACCCCACGGGTACAGCGGTTATGTTAATATTCCGACTGCCAGTTTCTTTGGCTGATCAGAAAGAAAAGGTGCCTAGCACCAGACCAGTCTGACAATGTGCTTAGCTCCCGCTGTTCAGCCTTACGACGTTGGGGCCGTCCGCAAACCTAGACGACTTAATCTGGGCGACGTTTGCTTGCTTTTTCCTCTGAAGCTCGGTTGTCCAGATCGACCGAGGTGCGCCGTCGTATGATCACGGGAACCGTACACCTTTCATTGGGAGATTTACGGCACAATTGGATGGCTGGCGATCTACATCCAGTCTTTGGCAGGCGCAGGACCGAGGAAACGTCGTATACGAGAAACACTGCAAACAATACGTCTTGCTATCGCTTCTCGAAACCCATTCCACCGTTTCACTGAGATCTCGCTGACGCTCACCAGATGCCATTCTTGCCCTCTATTCCCGTCGCCACCGGGGAACAAATAGCTTTCCAGCCGAACACTATTGTTTGAGATCGAAGTCACAATACGAGGCAAGATCGAGCAGAATCATACAGGGCATTGCCGGATCTGGCCATCTCTGCAGGAGATCCCTTCTTGTCCCTGCTGGCGGCCCTGTATGGGTGGACTGAGACATCCGCGGGTGTTCAGGTGCTGCTGCCAATGAACTGTCAGGACACGTCTCCTCCAAGCTCTTTTTCTCGTTGCTTTTTCTCTCAACCTGAATCACCTGGTCGCGAGCCAAACCATTCTGGTTACGAACCTTCCGCTTTTACATGATGGTCGTGCCGTGTGGGAACGGCAGAAAGAAACGAATCAAGAGCCTTCGTTTTTCTGCAAAGTATGAGCACTTAGCGGTTTTGGGTGATTCTGTGAGACACTATTGAATGTGTCTTCCACCAACACCAATTCCCCCCACGTTGAAGTCCTTTACCATGGACCGAATTCTTTCTACTCTTTCTCGTTGGTGTCCTTTTCCTCTCACTCGCACTCGCACGCACGGAATGCCTTTACTATCCTCACCATCGTCTCCCCTGTCGTCATTCACACCCTGCGGCATTTCGCAATTCAACATCCGGCTGTTAGTGAAGTTGCCGATTTCTTGCACTATTCCACTCAAGGGCAGATTAGAATTGCCAATGAGCCTAGATCGCGGTCTCGAACGCAATGGTCACTGCGGCCGTGCTTAGGCGCGTTCTTGATGCTGGCGATCTTCTGCCGGGGTCACTGAGCTAGTATCGCCTCAATTCCTTCCCAAAAAGATGTTTCAACCGCTCGTCAGTGACGAAGTCAGTTGTATCCGCACAAAAATATCTGGCATCGCAACCCGTTTCGTCGTCCCCGCCTTACCTTATTTCCCTCCGAGACCTTGACTCATTCATCGACTGAAGGGCCCGTTCCCTTTGAACAGGAACACGACGGGTCTCATCGGCGATGAGAAGCTCGGCAGCTTACTAGTAAATGAAGATTCACGGCAGTTGTTTATGACTTTGCGTTTTACTGCTCGACGGCTTCCGGCGGCTTGGTCCCAGCACAAGGCGGAAATCTCCGAAGCAGAAGTTATTGACAGGCATGCTTCGAAGGCGCCTTGTCTGATACGGTAGCATTTGATGGGGCTGTCAAGGCTCACTGTGACCTATCTCGTCCGCCTCGTGCTCGCCAGGACTCAGTCGTCACAGCTTCCGAGGCGCGGTGGCCGTGGGCTCTTTTTTTCCTAGCCCCGGATTTACTAGGTGACATCGTCTCAGGCACGACACTGAAGAAAGCCACGATGTGGCCTGATATTGGGTATTGCCATCTCGTACCCGAAGTCTCGACCCGATAGTCGCTTGATCAATGACCACGTTGGGTATGGCCAACGAAGAGAAGGTTTCGCGAAAAAAGAATGATCGCCATACGAAGCAGCGACCGCGCCTCCGCCCTAGCCACAATTGAACCTAGCGCCTCTGGCATGTGGCAGCGAGCTGGAGGTGTTTCGTGGCCAGGAAAATCAACCAAATAGGTAGGGACTACGAGTCTGGCCCGGCTCGGACTGTTGAGGCCAAGATTGTTTGTTCGATACGCCAGCCACAGTGCTACGTTGCCAGAGAGGCTGATTCAGGGGGAAAACGGTCCATGGAGGGAGGGCCCTCGTAGACGTTTTGTTTGTCACGGCTCACCTGAAGCCGGAGCCGAAAGCCGGGGCCCAAAAAGCCGGTTCTCGTCTCGTTTATACGATTTGCAGAAGCACTGGGTTCATCGTCGGCACGCATGTACTTCGTAGGTGGTTGTGCGACTGCGCGGCTGCTCCGCACTTTCGTCACCCAACTTGCTCTCGCTTGTTCGGTAGAGTTCCTGGAGGCTGGGGCTTGCATATGTCGGTGATGGCTTCCCTGGGTGTTGGAGGGCTGGCTATCGACTTGTGCAGCGCACACTCACTCACCCGCTCACACGCCCCCCCCCCCCCTCCGAATCCACTTCTTCACCGGTCGTCCGTCGTTGGCACGCTCCTGCGTCTCCTACCGGAGGAGGTTTCCTTCCGGGTGGCCTAGTCGCAAGAGCTGCGAAATCCCGGGTGGAGGAGGCGACTTTTGGGCCGCAGGAGCAGCGGCGGCGACGACGGCGGCGGCGCGGATCTTGGCCCTTAGCGGGTAAGTTGACGAGCAGAAGGGGGAAGGGTCGGGGGGTTTTAGTGTAGGGTCCCGCATCGGATCTTGCGCATCACTGCATCGATAGACGCGGATCCCGGCCGACGGCTTCATGGGTGAGAGGGTGAGAGCCTGGAAGGGCAGAAAGGGTATTCGTAGAGAGATTGGCCAAGGATCGGCTTTCTGGTTTGTGAGATGCTGCTGATGTTGCTGCTGCTCATGTGGCCCTCAGTGCCGTGTTAGACGTCGTTGCTGGGGCGGGCTGTTCCCTTTCGGTATCTCGATCCCGCATATCCTTCCACTGGTTTGACTTGGTTCATCCAAAGATCGACACGGCTCTAATCTGTGGTTTTGTAAGATTGGCGGAGGGGTCCAGATTCCCAAGATGAACACACATTCTTTTTTTCTTTAATTCGCAAGTGGGAAAACGGGGGAGGTGTCACAAGTGGTTAGCCAAGCATATCTCCCCCCCGGTCCCCTTTATTTTTTGGGACAGCGCCGCACGAGTACATTTCCAGATCCGGACGAAGCTTCGATTTATTGGGACGACCCTCGAGTCCCTCCAGATCGATGTTTCGAAACCTTGGCCATCATCATCACGACGCGTTCTTGAAGGGGCATGAGGGGCTGGGGTTGGTAAGGGGGTTTTGATGGTAGATATGGGGGTGGGAGAGGGGGTTATTCATTTGGGGGCCCTTGGCCCCCTTCCTCCAGGCTTCCCCTGCTCTCTGTCTCTCGGATGGGACTACCAATGGAAGGAATCTGAAGGGGTTCATTCTTGCGTGTATGTATTCTTGATTTTCTTTCTGGGAAGTGGTCTTGGATTTCTGGAGAGATGGATGAGACACGGGTTGCTTGCCGTATTTGTGCGGTGTTTGCTTATTCTACGGGAAAGAGAGGGACCGTAGGTAAGTAGGTCATAGGGCCTCGTCCGTTTTTTTTTTTTTTTTTAATGTTTCGTGCTTTTTTTTTTCCTTCCAGGGGTTTGAGAAAGGATTTTGATGTACCTTACGCAGTATACGCAGTAGTACTAGGTAGTTTAAGGTCGTTGTTACTTTTTCTTAGACGGGTTGGTGATGTGCGCCGCCCTGTGCCTCCTTAGTCAAGTCTGACAAGTCAAACTTCTTTTTGGTCCTGACAGGACGCAGTGCAGCCAGTGGGTCTTTTCCCCCTACCATGCCTTTCTTTATGTATTTATTTTTCTGGCTTTACGCAATAGGTACATCTAACCCCCTTTTTCCCGGGCGATGAAGGCCGAGATGATTGCACCGACCGACCGCCCGGCGGCGCAAACACGGTGGGGGGGGGGGGGGTACCTAACTCACAGGAACGAAACCGGGGGGTGCGGCTGGCTGGCAGTTGGGGCGGGCGGGCGAGCCACGAGCCTAGGTTCTATCCGTACCGTTGTCTGGCATGTGGTGAGGTGTCGTTCTCTTATAATTTTGTTTTTATTTTGTTCTTTCTTTAGTTTTTTCCAGGTGTAATTGTTGGTGGGCTAGGCAGGTAAGGCGGGGCGGCCGGGGGTCGGTCCTGGGAGGGGTTCGGTGATGCGCTTTTCCTTGAGTTTGCCCTTGTCCGCTTGTTGATGTGAAGCTACGCTAGATGATGCGGGCTGAGGACGGTTGCGTCGATCGACGATCCTTGCCTGGGAGGTCTCGAGGGGGGAGGGTGGGAAAGAGAAAAAGAGGAACTTTCACTGGCTGGTTGGTTTGGAAAACTTGGGATATTTCGTGCCATTGCTGTGGACGTGATGGGCGGGAGAGAGAGGGGGGGAGTGAGTGGACATGCGGGAAGTTTTTTCTTTGGTTCGACCGAGTTGCGGTTGCCGTAGGATGGGAGGGGGGTTACAAGGTTTTACTAGGGCTGGCTCGGCATAATTCCTTTTTCCCAGCTTTTCCCATGGATGATGGGTGCTGCAGCCTGCGGGTTTTTGTGGATGTTGTATAAGAAGCGTTCAGACGTTTCTTGAGAGGTGAGAGAGGTGAGTGTGTGGAGTCCGTGGGATGCAAAGGGCTTGCTTTGGATATTTGCTTTTTCTTACTATTTGGGTATAGACGCCGCTGCGGAAGGACGGTAGGCGGAGGTGAGGGAGAGTGGGGATTTCGTCTTTGTCCGAGGGGGTGTGTGTTGTGCAGCGTTGAGATGTGGTAGATGATTTGGATACAGAGAGAAAGGGACACTGTTGAGCTTCATTCCTTTCTTTGAAAGCATCTCAAGAACCATGAATGGAAGCATGTTGGTTGAAACCTGCGATTTGGGAATATAAGAGGCCGGGGGGTTAATGGGAGTGTGGGTTTGGATTACCCATCTACTTAGCTAGTATCGACGAGATCTGTCTACCCACCCTGGCGTCGTGCCTGTACTTCATTCTGACAGGCTGCTACTCTACTCTGCTCCACCGGTGCGATGCCGAATGCGATGCGCGCAAGGCACGCACGGGGAGGAGTTGTCCCGGCAGGCGGAAAGAACAATAAAGAGGGGAAGTTGAGGTGCTGCGCGGGCTCGGGGACCGGCCGATGGTAACTCGGTGTGAGACTTGCAGGTTCAGGGACCGGGGACCGGGCGGGGGTATCGGGGAGAGAGAGCCGTGGCACGGTCACGGCACTGCGCTGCGCTCAGGGAGAGGTTCCAGTGTGGCGTGGGAGCGCGGCAGATCTTCGGTCAGCTCGAGAGCACAGAAGGAGAGGTGGCGGCCGGAGATATCGGGTGCCGAGAAGTTGTTCCACGGCATAATCAAAGGATCTGGTACTGAGGAATGTTGAAAACGCTGGTAGACTAGAGAGCTAGTGTCGTTGGATGTAGGGAAGAACGTTTGTTAGAGGAGGGCCGGTGCGAGGCGCGCCGGGAGGGCGGCGGTCCGGCTTGGCCCCCGCCTGCTTTTTGGGAGGGTCCGTAGTCTGGACCTGTCTCTTTGAGGTGTGTCATGCGGGCTTGTTGGCAGCGGCAGACAGAGACTCGGAGACTCAGAGACTCAGACAGCGCCAGCAGCCCTGCTGAGATGGAATGACGGAGGTCTGGAGTCTCTGAGTCCCCTTTTTCTGGAGGGGATCATCGAGAGCTGCAAGCTTGAGCTGTGGCACATGTACTTTGTAGCCTAGTTATATACGTACGGATACATTGCCTTGATCACGCATCTGGTAGGGAGCGATGGCGGGTATTACCTATTGCAGGCAAGGGAGGTAAACCGGGATCTCTGGCGCTGACGTAGGGATCAGAATGGAGGCCGGGGGTCGTTCAGCATATACTTGCTTTTTCCCGACTTTTGGTTTCGTTTCCTGATCCCACAACCCTATGCACGAAATGGATAAGATGAGCAACAGGGTAGCTAGTTAGGGGATAGATAGAAAGAAAACGGGCACGACGGGGAAAGCTGGCTTGTGGGAGCCTCTCTAAGCCGAGACAACAAAACAAGAGATGAAGATCGAGGTGAAGATCTTGTGATGGAACTGGTTAGAGCCTCGTCGGCGCAGCCTTTTTTGTCTTGAATTCTTGATAGGGTTGGGTGTCTTTGCGTATCCAAGGTACGCGGTCTCTAATTTCAGACAATCAGCTCCCAAGACGTTTTGTTCTGAAGCCGCATTCTGAATTGACCTGCCTATCGCGGTATGGAGGGCGACGGATGGTTATCGACCTCGACTCCGTTTTGGGATATGAGATGTGCAACAGGGAGGCTTTAGTCCGAAGGGCTTAGCGTTTTGTAGTTGAATAGTCAGGGCACATAAGGGTAGAGGCAAGCACGGCAAGTGAGGATAGGGCTGAGAAAGTTGTGGGCTTCTTTGTGTGCCTGAGTAAGCGTTGCCATAACGTCTTTTCTTTTCCTGTCCATCTCTCTTACCTGACTTCGGACTAGGTTCGGCTCTTGCGAGAGCTTGGCCTTGACTTTGATGGGGGTCTAGCGTGGACTGGGTACGCGAGAGGTTTCCAAAACTGGATAATGGGATTCCTTTGGGAGGAATCGAAGGATGATGGAGGTTGCCTAAGAACTAGTCATGATAGTCCTTGCAAGGGAGAAGCAAAGGGATGGGTACTGTGGGAGGAGCTCCTAGCAGAGCGGGGGAGCCAAGAGTGGCTGTTTTCAGGTGGCGCATTGCGGGCTTAGCGTTACATATTCTAGAAACTCGATCCTATGGATATAGAGGCGTCCGAAGCGTTTATGAGATGTGATGGTTGAAGTATGGAAGCTAAGAAGATGCGGAAGGAAGGGAAGAATGATTAAGATATGGTTATAGTGGCTCTGTGGAAACCGGCTAGATGCGGTAGATGGCGAATATGGTGGGGGGCGTTGAAGGCAGGGAATATTGAAAGAAATGCTCGGTAATTGGATATATCCAAGTCAACAAGGTACCTGTTGTAACTTTGCTAGTTGGTATACGTTGAGTGGGACTTTGGTAGAGGAATCGAGACATGTGGCTTGATGGTGGAATTGACGTGTCAAGGAGGCAGAGTCACAACACGTGGTATACTGACAACGCCTTGAACTCTCTCTTATCTGATGTGATCTGGATGTATCACGTGAACTTGAGTAGATTGAGCGGATTTGACCATAGTTGCAGTGAAGTTCTGGTCTACATGAATCATGATTATCGTGTAGAAGCTATGAAACTTCAAGTCGTGTGGGGTGCATTATCCTAGGCGCCAAGTGAAAACTCTTGTCGAAAAATGAGGGCAGTTCTTGCATAACCTAATGCAAGATGTCCCGGTAATGAAAAGCTAGAGTTCATGATTCAATGTAGTGCTTATCAACTTGAGCAGGCTATAGGAGTGATATGATTGTCCTGCTATCTTGACAATCTGTCAGAAATAGTCTCTGAACCGACTTGTTTATATAGAAACTAAACATCTTGACTTAGTATCACATTAAAATATTTGACATTGGCTTGCAAGTCAAGTTCCACACCTTAGCGAAACGCACTTTCGGTCTCTCAAGCAGCCCGTCAAGTGTGGCCATGGCCACGGCCGACCATTCGCACGGCCTGTGCTAAATCTCCTTCAGCAGCCAATCCTCGAGCAGCCTCTCTTCGAAAAATGATGCAGGACGTGATGCAGAAAAGCATCTCCTGAGGAAGAGGTCCGCACTCTGCTGTGAATAAGGTCAGCTGGTGCTTGATTCAATATCAGACATCGGTTCGCAGGGTGTTGCACCGGTCGGGGATGGTGTTGAGATGGCAGTGCCAGAAAGAAACATCCCGAGGAGCTGGGATATCAGGGCATCAGTATTAGTCCGGCGGCATAAATGAGACAAAGACTGGAGGCAACACTTACTACAGGAGTGGGTCTCATGGTGTTAATCTGGCGGAAAGGACCGAGGAGTTTGACGTCGAGAGGTGAACGGCTATCTGGCTTCGTGAAAGGGATTATGCCTTCGGTTCTTGATAGTGTGCGGTTGAATGAAGCTGCCTTTTTTGTGTACCCCGCCAAGTCTAGGTTGATAGAATATAAGTAGAAGGAAGACAATCATTCCGTAACGTCTCGAATCTCGCTCGACATTTATATCTAGGACCGCTAAAGTGAGTTTGGCCCCAACCTTCTCAATAAGACTTTGGAGTGCTTGGCATCGATCCGTGGTATTGTTGATTACGGGAACTTCCAGAAAATGCTCGTGGTTCATCCTGCCGCTAAGCCGGGTGCTTTACCCTGCGGTAGCAGCACCCAAGATGAAGTCAGTTGCCCGGCTGGAGAGGAGGTTGGCTAACCAATCGCACTGCATTTCTCTTTAGATAACTAAGGATTGCGTACAACGATGGCCTCAGAATTCGTAACATGGAGTATGTTCTTTGGGGAGAAGAGGGCTGTGTTCCTTTCTGAGAGAGCCTCTGTTTGGTTGTGTTCCACTTTCGGGCGAGTAAATTGCGGCTCACCATCATAGCCTACATGCACCGCGGGAGATGAAATATCGTCAGGCCATTGTTGTATACGTATTGCGCCCTTGGAACCAATACCGATGACATTGCATGAAACTCGAGAAATGCTCAGCGATACGTTGAAGAAAACGGCCCTGAAGCTTGGTCTCATTTATAGTTTCAGTTTTGATTGGGCTCGTGGATGGCCTACGGACAAGATGTTCTTCGATTCTGGCCGGACTTTACCTCACTAGTATTGTGTAGACCGTGTACCAGGTCTGCTCGCGGGATACCCTCCGTCTTAGATGGAGGTGGACGGCCGGGACAAAATAGACGTTGACCATCTTGCCATCAAGATTGAGATTAGTACACCGTGATGAAGAGACTGTTCAGGTAGAATTATTTTGGCGTCAACACCAAAATTACAATGAGCTTGAAGTCCGTGTTGATGATGTAGGGATCCAAAGATTTGAATTGATCTACTTCATTCCATGCTTCATGATGTAGCACATGGTCAAAATCCCTTGTCCGGACTATTAGAACCAAGGAGAGAGATCACGGATCGCTATACGCGAGACATGAAAGAGTATGTTAAGCTCAGAGATGCCACACGAATCGGGCATAAGCCTAGATGGTAGGGAGGTTGAAGTTGAAGTTGAAATTGAAGTTGAAGTTGCAGTCAAGTTTAGTAGTCTATGGGGATGTAACGTACCCGATGAGGGGAATTCCCGCTGCTACCAATCTTACCAAACCTACTCGGTCAAATGTTGCTTACAAGTATGATCATGAAGTGACACCTTGGAAAGGGAGTTTCTCATGCTATGGTTCGGAATTACGATCGGACCTCTTCAAGGCCATCTTGTCCAGTTCTTCGTCATGACGTTAGCGGCTTTGTGGCTGCGGGCCAGCTTCGGCATTCTCGCCCGCTTACGGCCGAACACGCGTGTGTATGTCCGCTTACGTCCGTCTCCAGAAGTCAACTTCACCTCAGCACCCGGACGGTCCATCTGGCTCATCCGCTGCTTCCCCTTCCACCCCAAGTCTGCCTGCAATCGCCATAGGCCCGAGACGTTGGACCGTAATCAACTGTTCAGACATGGAGCGACAAACCCGTCGACGGCGCAGACCCGCTCTGTCATGCCTAGAATGCAGACGCCGAAAGATCAAGTGTGATCGCGACGAGCCATGTGGGCATTGCACTGCATCAAAACTCCGTTGCACCTACCGAGTATTCGGAAGTGAACCGGCAACTCGGCCAACGGTGCAACAAGCTGTTCAGCCAATGCAGTCAATTCACATGATATCGCCCCTGTCACAGGCTCCGACTGTTGTTCCGGCACATGAGTCCACAAACGATGCCAATGCCATCTCTGAGCCTGGACCGGCGCATTCTCGTCATCGCGAGGCCAGTATTGGCGATGATGTCAGTGAAGAGGTCGTCGTATCTGGAAACATGGCTCAAGCTTCAGCTGCCGAGCCCGCTCTCAGAGATCTCCTACACCGCGTCCAGAGATTGGAAGAAGTTCAAGTATCTGCTGATACGGCACGACGAAGCCGATCCGAAGTTCCCCAGCAAATGATGGGGAAGGATACAGATTCACGCGTAGTGTTGAAGAAGTCAAGAGTCTGGCGATGGAGTGATTGGATGGGTGAAGCTTCCGAAGTATGTTCTTTGCCTGTGATGGTTGCTAGCAAGGTGCCCACTGCTAACATTTGAACAGTTTGACAGATTATTGGACTGCTATACAAGTTACGTCAAGGCTGCTGGAAATGAGAGTCATACTCCATTTCCAGATGCCGAAACTGAGGCCATGGCTATAGAGGCCGGAACCTTACTACGGAACTGCAAAGACCTAGCGAGGAGCATCAAAAGTTGGCGACCCAGCAGAAGCTTTGACAACTCTGGAGTCAACCTGGCAGCGCCATCTCGCGAGGTAGCCGATACAATGGTAGATCATTACCTGGATTCATTCGAATCAACCTACCGCATATTACACAAGCCTACCTTCAAGGCGGAATATCAGCGGTTTTGGGATGACCCAGCTAGCGTCAAAACCGATTCGCGCCTCAAGATACTTCTCGTCATCGCGATTGGGTCAAGCTTACATGACACTGAATTAGTCGAGCCAGGATTTAAACGCCTGGCTCATCAGTGGATTTACGCTGCCCAGGCTTGGCTTTCCGGCCCCCTGGAAAAGGATCGATTGGGTATCAACGGCGTCCAGATTCACTGCTTGACCATCTTTGCACGGCATATATTATCGATTGGAGGCGATCTGGTATGTATTTCCACAGGAACACTTATCCATACAGCCATGCAGATCGGCTTGCACCGTGATCCAAGCCATTTATCGTCAATGTCGACGTTGCAAGCAGAGATCCGAAGAAGAATCTGGTCGACCATCTTGGAGTTAGTAATTCAGTCATCCTTAGATGCGGCAATGCCTCCCAGGATCTCTTTCGATGAGTTTGATACTAAACCGCCTGCAAACATCAATGACGACGAACTAGAAGAGTCGCGAACGGAGCTAAGATCACATCCGAGGAGCACTTACACGGATATGTCGCTACATCTTCAGCTCAGAGACTCTCTCTTGAGCCGGCTTCGAGTTGTTCAGTTGCTCAATGGGATACACCATGAGTTGTCTTATCACGTCGCACTGGAGCTGAGCTCGGAGATTACTCATGCCTGCAGGACCAACATCCACTTCGTGAGGCAGCACGAACGATCCGGAGTCTCTGTTTTCCACCAAAACTTACTCGATTTTCTCGTGCGTCGCTTCCTGATTCCCTTGCACTGCCCGTTCGCGAGCCAGGCACAGACAAACCCCCTGTTCCAGTACTCGACGAAGGCGACACTCGACGCCACAATCACGATCCTGTCACCTGTGCCGGACGACAAGTTCTCTCGTCTATTCAGAATCGCGGGAGGTATGTTCCGCGAAGGCTACAGGTACGCACTTGCTACCGTAAGCCACGAGTACATCGCTCAAGCAGAGACGCAGCATCGTGATGGAACGCTGCAACGCAACGTCCAACAGAGAGAATTTCTGAAGAAAACAATGATGGAGTTGATAGAGATAGCGGCAGAGAGAGTAAGGTACGGAGGCGAGACAAATATCAAAGGTCACATGTTTCTCAAAATGATTGTGGCACAAATAGAAGCCATGGAAATGGGCATCCAAGGAGATTTGGAGATTGCGAAGAGCGCGAAAGAAAGTCTAGAATACTGCCACACCTTGCTCGAGGGTCAAGCAAGCACTGTGACGCCATGCTCAACGGCCGATGCAGATTTTGGATCCTCGGGGCTTGACCACGAACAGGGAGGCTTTGGATTTGACTGGGACTTTGACTTTTTTCTACCCGAAGGAGATTTTTAAAGTTCATTCAATTTGAAAGTTGAGAAAAAAATCTCCGCAAAATTCGATTGAAAAGACTCATTACTATTTCAATTTTCTTTGCAGCTACAGTTTGACTAGCGACTGAACGTTCCTGCTACTTGTCACAGCCGTTTGACAGTCCCCATATCGGACCTTGGCCTTTGACCGAGAGTATCTACAGCTCGATCCATCGGCATTAGCTGACTTGTTGTCAAAGAAAGGGCGTTCGCAGTGGTTCGGCCGAGGCGGCTAAGACACGGACATAACAGCTCATTCATACGAGTGTGACTCCTCGCCACCTTCCTTGATTGATTAAGGTACTTAAGTGTGGTGACAGAATCACCTAACATCTCTTCTCATATCGATTAAAACACGATATAAGACATTTGCTTCATTTCTCCGCCCTAGGTACTCCTCACTATCCTTATACTTAATCACGACGTTCAATCAAACATGTCTTCTCCTTTGAAGATTCTTATCAGCGGCGGTGGAATCGCTGGAGGCTGCCTCGCCTTCTGGCTAGTCAAACTCGGCCATGATGTTACCGTGGTGGAATGGTTCCCTACTCTCCGCGCTACAGGACTTCAAATCGACCTCCGAGGACACGGCATTGAAGTCTTGAAGCGTATGGGCCTCGAAGAGGGATTCCGCGCCAAATCGGTTCCTGAGCAAGGCCTCCAGTTTGTCGATAGTTCCGGCCGAAGGCGAGGCCACTTCCCGATGAACCACTCGGGAAGTGGAGCGCAAAATTTTACCTCCGAGTATGAGATCATGAGAGGAGATTTGTGCCATCTCTTCTACGATGCCACCAAGGGCCGTGCCAAGTACATCTTTGGCACTTCCGTGGAAAGCTTCGACCAGAAGAACGGCGGCGTAGACGTACGCTTCAAGGACGGCAAGACGGAACATTTCAATCTATTGGTCGGTGCCGACGGCCAAGGATCACGTACGCGCAAGATGATGCTAAAGTCCGAAGCCTCTGACGGCTTTTACCCACTCAGGGGTATTCACGCCTCTTACTTCACAATACCCCGATCAATAGAGAAGGGTGAAGAGTACTATTCGACGGCTTATTTCGCGACCAACAGCCGGATTGTAATGACTCGACGACACAGTCCAGAAGCGATCCAGGCGTACACTTTCTTCACATCTCATGACGAAGAATTCCAGAACGCTCGACGAACCCACGGAAAGGAAGTAAAGAATGTTGTTGTCAAGACGTTCAAGGGCGCAGGATGGCAAGTGGACTACCTCCTGGACGCGATGATGGACTCCCAAGACTTTTACTGCGAGCAAATCGGCTTGGTCAAGATTGACCACTGGTCCGAGGGGCATGTCGCCCTTGTCGGAGACGCGGCGTACGGACCATCCTCCATGACGGGCATGGGCACAACTTCGGCAATTGTCGGCGCCTACGTCTTGGCTGGAGAGATCGGTAAACACTGCGGATCTGAACGCGGCCAAGATGGCATTGAAACGGCTCTACACGAGTACGAAAGAAAGATGCGGCCTTTCATGGATCAAGTGCAGGAGGGCATCACAGATGACGCTTTTGTTTATAAGCTGTGGCCGACGGGACCCATTGGGATGACAATCTTGTACTGGATTATTGGAATTGTTTCTTTCTTCCACATGAACCTTGGGAAGTGGGTTCTAAAGGAGAGTGCGGTGAAGTGGAACTTGCCGGACTACAAGGAGTTGCTACTTTGACGAGACTTGCCTCAGTATTGAGGAGGAAGGTACGGGAAAGTAGCAGAGCATTCATTTATATCTGTACATTATGAGACGAAACACAGCTCTGAAAAAACCTCCATGATTCAACGACAACTAATATGAGGCAATATGTACGGGCTTTTCAATATGTGAAGAGGTTTCAAGACCCTCGGGAAGTATTTACAAGATGGATGAACGAGGAATAGTATCTGTACATGCAGCTTTGCTTGGCAGTTTAGTTGTTGAAGGTATGTGTGTGGATGTTGATAGTATCAACCTTCCAGGTCTTGCCGTTGTCGGAAGTGGTAAGCCCAGACGAGTCGGCCTCATTGAGACCGAGGGTCTTGCCGAAGGTGTTATCGGCAGCGTTGAGTATGATGGTCGTACCTGTGTACTCTGTGAATGACAAGGTTAGTGAACCATGAAGCGAACAAATCATCACAGGGAGCACTTACTGTGAGCAACAACCGTACCGACACAAGCATCGTCTTGGCATTCAACAGCAGTACCCCAGCCCTCGGCGTTTCCGGAGCCTTTGCATTGTGAGCAGTCATCCTAGTACATTGACATCGCCTAAGTCTTTGAGTTTTACTTACTCGTTGAAAGAGTCGACACCACCTTGCCGTTGAGAGAGACGGTCTGATCATACTTGCCAGTGCTGTCGTTGTATTTGTCTGTGTTATGGAGTCAGACTCGATCCATGATAAAATCCAAATCTGATGACTTACAGTGCATAGTGAGCTTGTCACCAGCAGAAGCAGGAACTTGCGTGCCTCCGAGCTGCTCTCCTTGAAGAGTGCTGGCCCAAGTGCACCACTGACCGACGCTAGCACCGCAGTTCCTATGGAAGTTGTCAGCTCGTGACTTTGCCTTCTGATAGAATATACAAGTGATTACGCCTTGGGATCGCTGAAGGAGACAGCAAGAGCCTGGATAAGGTCACCGCCGCTGGTACCCATGCCGGGCCAAAGAGCAAGACGATCCTTCTGGGGACTAGGCACGGGAGGAAGAACGAGAGTCGTAGTCGCCTCACGGATCCAAGACTGAGTGGGACCGAGGGAGAATGCTGGTCCAAACCCGACCTTATCCTGAGCGCTCACCATATTGGCGGCAGCGAGGAGAGCAGCTGCAGCGACGTTACGCATGTTGACGGATATTCGGAGCGAGTGACTGAAGGTAGCAAGGGTATGCAGTCGAAAAAGATCGAAATCCGGAGTGAAGCAATGTCGAGGGTTAACGTAGACTGGAGTCTTAGGAATGGAACGACGACGGCAAGAAGCGCCAAGTACTCTTGACAACGAGTGTAGGATTTATATGGAAGGCTGCTCATCGTTCTAGACTGCTTCGATTCATCCTAGATGATGCCCCCTTTACCCGTCCGGCATGTTTCTGCCGTATCCAGTCTCCCAATTAACCTGCTACCTCCCACGAGAGAACCAGTCACAAAACAGCCCAGTGGTGGACAAACAATTTCCGCGATGGGTTGTGAAGGCTGCGCCAGGGTCCACGCGACCTGGCCAGATGGTTGAAGGAATAATCCAAGCGAGAAACCCATTCTCATTTGGTAACCCCAATGGGGTCGACAAGGACAAGGCATCATGCTTACTACCATCAACCTCTTAGGCTCTGCAACCTTAACCTTCCCAAAAGAGGGTTGCATTCCCTCGGAACCATCACTAGCATGGCAAGACGCTCAACCACTAAGCAAGAGCGCGACAATACCAACGGAGAAGCGTGCAGACGGCAGACAAGCCTAGAAGGAAGTACATGACTTCAAGCGTAGACTCGTCGATAGTGACAATGCAAGTGGAGTTCGCGTATTCAACGTGCCGCTTTTTGGATCCCCTTCAAGTGTGAAAAGACAAGATTGGAGACCCCCTGTCTGAGGATCGTCCGTTGAACCATTGCTTGGCCCTGCGAGCCGCAACTAGATTGAAATCCCCACATCGTCTTTTTCAGAGTCGCGATTAGTGATCGGGTAGACGGGTTTCGGCACTCAAGTGCCACAGTCCTCGATGTATTACTGGACTCGTTCGGTTTTCCGAATCCATAAATTCCTGGACTCATTAACGAATTATGAATGAGGGTTTCCGCTACCAAAATCAGGCGCAACACACTTCACACGACGTCATGAATGCACTGATGAAGAGAGCGAGGGTGGCTTCGAAGTGCCTCGAGCTCAGGTTTCTCGGAGCAGTTATATTCTGAGCGGAAGCTCTTCACGAAGCTTCACACAACTTGCAATTCATGAGGGGTTTAGGGGAGGGGCGCGTGTTGACCCCCTTGGCAAGTTGTCTTGGGGTTCCTCTGACGGCATACCGATGGTGCGCTTGAAACGGTGTAGCCACTCAAGATTGTCTGCCGAGGTCTGATTCCAAGGGTCGCCGCTAAATCAGTCAGACGTCAATAATCCCTTACAAGAGAAGACGAGGAGACAGAACTTACTCTTCATAAACAATGAATCGCGCTTGGTGCTGAATCTCATGGTCCGACGGAACGTGACTGTTCGGGTTGTTGGGAGACATGGTTGCTGCGATCCAGCGTCGTAGCTCAAGAGCAAGCCACCGATTGAAATTGGAGTCATTGAAAAACGCATAGTTTCGTTTGACTGTTGAAAACTGCGGGTGTGCGCTGCGGCCATCTGGTCCAGTGCTTCCGGGTCTCTGCCAGTCGGGAGTATTCGAGACTAGAGGCGACACGGGTGAAGCTTGGGCGACATCGCTTGCTGGAGAAGCGTCCTGGGTAGTAGGTTCTTGTAGCAATGGTGGGAGAACGTCACTTCCTGTATCCTGCAGCCAAGCGCGTTGATTCGGCATGGCTAGATTCCTCCAGAGTCCTCTGTCAAAAGGAACACCTTGGAGTTGAAATGGAATCGGGGGCTCGAAAGGCTCATTTGCAGCAGCTCTTCCGTTCATGAGATCTCCGAGTCCTACTTGTTGGTCTTTCTCAGAAAGTCGTAGTGGAGGTAGAGCACTTGAGCTTTCGTGTTGAAGAAGACGTGTTCTCAAGCGAAACGCGGTAAGCCAGCCAGTTGATGAGCTGATGAGGTTGACTAGCCAGTTGACAACCAAGTCGGCCGGAGACATTCCCCAACTCTTGCCTAGACGTGTGACTATCTTACAAGCCTCGTTCTGTAGTTCTTGGTTGTTGAGAACATTGGGTCCAAGTAGCCTGTGCTTATCAACAAAGGCATCAAGCTGCAATTCACAGGGGCATTCATCAAACAGACTGCGCTTTCCTTTGATCTGAAGAACAGACATCATGCTTTCGGCTGGCGATCTTATCGG